GGAAAGGTTTACAGTATATGTTCTGGTTCCAATGTGGCCAGAAGGAATTCCTGAGAGTGCATCTGTACAAGCAATATTAGATTGGCAAAAGAGGACAATGGAAATGATGTATAAACATATATTCCAGGCTATCAGAGACAAAGGTATTGACGATCACCCCAGGAATTATTTGACTTTTTTCTGCATTGGTAATCGGGAGTTGAAGAAGACCGGAGAATATGAACCTTCAGAGAAGCCAGAACCTGATTCTGATTATGAGCGAGCTCAGGAAGCTCGTCGCTTCATGATCTATGTCCATTCCAAGATGATGATTGGTGAGTTGTGGTTTGCAAATCTCTGTTCTATCTTAAACTTGATTCTCTGAAAATATGAACTTTAGATGTCTTGAATATGGCGAGAAAAACTTTCAAGTTTTATAAGTTCCTTGAAATACTTGAAGGATTTAACATGGTAAACAATCAAGTTCTTGATTTGTTTGTTTTGATTAAACACCAATCCTTAGATTGACTAAATACAAGAGACTTCAGACTTTCTTGCATAAGTACCGCATATAGTTACACTTAGAGGCGGATCTAAGATTTAAACGTGGTAGATTCCGCGTGTATTTTCTAACAACTGAAGCCATTGTACTTTTGCAATTATGGGTTCAGAGCTTAATATATTTGTTGAAATTACTTTCACATATATATATATATATATATATATATATATATATATTTCTCTGTGGTTATGTTGCATCGATTCCTGGTTATGCTAGCATTGCGAGGTACTAACTTAGTTTCTTGACAGTTGATGATGAGTACATCATAGTTGGATCAGCCAACATAAACCAGAGGTCAATGGACGGCGCAAGAGATTCTGAGATAGCAATAGGAGCATACCAGCCTCATCATTTAACGACAAGACAACCAGCACGGGGTCAAGTTCATGGTTTCAGAATGGCATTGTGGTACGAGCATATGGGTATGCTTGACGACACCTTCCAACATCCAGAAAGTGAGGAATGTGTGAGGAAGGTGAATCAAATCGCTGATAAATACTGGGATCTGTATACAAGTGAGAGCCTAGAAAATGATCTGCCTGGTCACTTGCTCCGATACCCCGTTGGACTTACGAACAATGGGGATATCACGGATTTGCCTGGAAATGGAAATGAGTTCTTCCCTGACACTAAGGCCAGGGTTGTTGGTACTAAATCTGACTACCTTCCTCCTATCCTCACTACATAAGTTGAAAAACATGTTGGCTATATCCCAAGGAAACTGCAGTTTGTAGTGGAATAACAGATGGTTCTTTGTCTTTTAGATTTCTAATCGAGGGATGGGCATCTGAGATTTGATGAGGCTCCTTGTTTTAATTGTTGTTTTTGTAGATGTTTTTCAGATTTGTGTACGTGTTCTGAAAGGATACTAGTATTAGATTTGCTTTCTTTGGAAATTTAACACTTCGTTATTTTCTTGTTGAACTCGTTGTCTCGTTAAGTATACCACTACTACATTGCATCTACATTTATTTTTTGCCGGAATATTCATCTATTTTAGGTTCTATTAATTTTATAGTAACAACTACCTTCAACATGCCTGGACCTGGAATGACTATACCTTAGATCACCTCTATTTGTGTGGTCCGTTCTAGTGATAGCATTTTCACTTTTATTATCATTTTCAGTATTGGTTGGGGTAATTATAATGTTATTATCCGATCGAAATTTTAATACAATCTTTTCTGATCCCGTTGGAGGGGACACCCCATATTATACCAACATCTCTTTTGATTCTTCGATCATGCAGAGGTGTATATTTCCATTCTACCTCATGAACACGTTTACTGTATGAATCGTGATCAATCATCAAACCAAAATAGCGGCCCAGAATGGTGTGTTCGGGCGAAATAAAACTGTATGGTCAAGCAATAACAAAGTCAGAAATTGTTTTCTAACAAGAAGATTCAGAAAAATACAAGAATGTCACGATTGGAATTCGAATCTATGACCTAAAAGCATTTTATGAATTATCCTAATCACCATATTAGGAAAAAAAATTATGTCAAAAAGATTTTAACGATTTACATATATTAAAAATAACGTGATTCTCTGTATGAACACTCCTCCAAACCATGTAGTTTCGCCCTTGTAGTCAAGCAAATGTGTACTGAATCTCGTGACTTTTAGGAGTTTCTCTGCACAGGTGTCAAAGTTTAAGGCAAATGTAAGATTGCATGCAATCAAAAGGCGAAGAAATAATGAACCAAGTGGCCATGAGGGTTTATTATTTGTCCACTTGCCTTATTATTGGATGAGCCTCACTTGTCATTATTGCTAGGAAGCATTTAGACTGAGACGTGTCTATTGGACGTTTAATTTTATCATTACCAAATTCTAGTATTTCCGTAATCCAACAATCGTGGCATTTCGCTTCAATTATTAACTTACCACGTACTAATTGTAAAAATGAGAAGATTAATTAGTGTTCTCCTTTTCTAACGGACAGGTCCTATCACTGTCTTAATAGAGTTCGCCGTTACTTTCAAATTCCAGAGGTACAATAGAAACCGACAACATTTAGTGGCTTAGAGGGATGACTATGAAGATTTAATTTGACTACTGCCAATATTATCCACAAAAAACGAGAATCAAAAATTTCAAATTCCAAAATATCAAATCACATGCAACGAAAGGTGCACAGCAATCTAAGAGAATCAATTTCGTCCGATTCTCACCTCCAAATGAACCAAACAATTCCATTTTATTGTTTCTTTTTATTCCTTTTTCCTTTCTTTGTATCTATCCTCTAAATTTTGGTGGCATGAAAGAACTCTAGATTCTAACACCATAGTGCCGATTACGAGCGGCAAAATAGTTAAAAGAAAATAGTTAATCACCTATATTATTCACTAAAAGACGGATTAAATAATAAATCTTTTAAATCATATTATCCATTTTCTAACTTTTATCCATTGAGTAACCAATGTGTCTAACTTTTACATTTGTAAAGTTTTAAATTGGGGATTTTGAGAGTTAGGGAGACTGAAAATTCTCCCAAAAGTGATCTTATGCAAGAAGTCATGGATAATATGGGTAGGTTAATTCGTTTTTTTCCATATTAAATATGGGTCGGATCGAATAATTTATTCGTTTTTTATTACCCGTTTTCGACTCGAACCATATCTGACTCGCCCGTTTGACACTATAGCTCCGATCATAAAATGCCTTTAGCAGAATAGGTGCTGATGTTTTTGCATTAAATAAAACTATATCTTTTCATTAATGAGTTTTATTATCTTTGTAGTAATACTTTGGGTAAACAAATCTAGAATTTTCTTGTGAAATCTAATAGGAAATGTTTTCCCCTGACACAAGTGGTTTGTTGTTCTCGTGACAAGTACAGGATCCATTCGTACTTGACTTGAAGAAGCTGCTGCGTACAATAAAGTAGGGAGAACTTCCACGTCTCCAACTCTCATCACTTTGTTTAATTTTCTTCTTCACCTTAGATTCTTTAATTCATTCAATACTTTGTGGGGTCTGTGTAGACCACCAAAACAATAAAGCAATTTCTATTACAACAACTTTGACCATCTTTCATTCTCTGCCTTTCGTCTCTCTTTCCCCTGCCGTGCGGTTCATTACTGAAAGCAATATCTGATTTCTAAATCCAACACTTGGAGATAAACTAATCCACTATTTCATCTTTCCTTTCTCTATCTGATTCCTCTTTTAAAAAGGTTTTAAAAGAAATCGAGAGTCTCACTATTATTATTTTATACCTCAAATTTCTTCTTCCTCTTAAAAGTTTTACTATATAATATTGAGACGCCTTTCTTTTTAAGTCAACTCTTGCTTACATTTTAGACCATCAATTTTCCTCTTTCTTTTAAAATTTTTATTCAATCCCACCAACTCCATCGATCATGTCAAGTATGTTGGGTTCACAAGGCTTAGTTTTAGCAACAGCCATGGCTGTCTCTGCCGGTACCGTCATTCTACTGGATCTTTTCCGGGTCAAGTACTCCTCAACGACCCATCTTTCCGATCAACAAGATCACTCTCCACCTGAAAATCAGATTCTCAAATCTTGTTTATCTTCAGGTTACTAACTACTCATTTAATTTTCCCTCTGTTTTCTCGAAATTAACCTGGTAATTCTTCGTTTAGTTTAATCTAATTATGGTTGTCATATTAATTTCAGCTGGAAAGAACAAGGACAGAGCAAAGAAGAAAAAGAAGAGAGTTCATTTTGCAGCTGATGTGAAAAGTTCAAGTGGAAATGGCGAGGAGTACAGAAGAGAACATATGAGGAAATATACAGAAACTCGTATTAAATCTTGCGGGAATGAGATTGTGGGTATGCCAGGTAATAGAATGGCTTTATACACTGGGATTCTCAAGGATCGGGTGCAACGCATGGAATTCTCCTATTGATAAAATCGTATTTTCGTTTAGGTTCGTCTTCTTGCAATGTGAAACAGAGGAAGAATTAGGCGGAAGAAAATTGTAGGCATTTCGCTGTAACCTGTAAATAATGGTGTGAAAAGTTGTGTCATGGTTTTCTGTACATGAAATTAGGAACTCTTTTATATTTTCTTTGTCTTGAATTTTCTCCCCTTCTTATTTTACGATTTTAGGCTATAAGTAATTTTCACCGTCTCAGCTTTCTTTTTCCGTCTAGTTTCACTATCAACGTCGCAAATGCTAGGCTTGTACTTGTTTTATATTTTGGCGTTGTTCAACTCCTTTGATTTGCAAAAGATAATAAGTGTGTTTGGACACAGCGACGGATCTATGTACAAGGTTCGGGGTGGTACGCCACCCGCAAACTTCGGCGAAAACTTTATATATATATAAAATAGTATATATATTTAAAGTGTCACCCACAAAACAAAAGTGGCCAATATGCCAGTGGCAAAGGTCCATTTTTTTGAGTTCGAATCCAACACACAACATGTTTTTTATTTTAAATGTTTTATTTTTAATTAATGAGATAAAGTAATCACAAAAAGTTTTATAATTAAAATAAAATTTCTAGAAAGCTAAAAGACTTCCCCACTTTCCCCTTTCCCAAAATTGTCACTAGCAAAAGGACTTTTAATTAATAAGATATAGTAAAAGTCTTCCCCACTTTCCCCTTTCCCAAAGTTGTCTCTAGCAAAAGGATTTCAATATCCAATTCTTAAGTCCCCAACCGGCCAACCCTCACTTTGCTTGTCCAGTTCTCACTCTCACGGCTCATCTCTTCAGTTCTTCTTTTTTGCTATTTCAAATCACATTTGTTCACCGGTAAAGCTTCCTCTTCCTCTTATTTATTTCTTAACCCTATATGGTCTATGACTATTTTTTTTCCATTAAATATATATTTTTTTTGCTTTTTTTTTTGTATTTAGTTGGATTTTAATGTTCTTGCAAAATTTTATTGTCACTTGTGATTTATTTGTTATGTATTTCTTTGGTTTTGTTAAAAATCCTATGCCACTTAAATGGTTTCATTGTAGAAATTAATTTCGTGGCTAAAAGAAAGAACATCTCCAATATTTTTGACCAAGAAAAATTCAAAATTAACTCCATTTTAACAATAAAAGTATTAGGGAAAGTTGAATAATTTTCATTGGTTAAGCTTATTGATGGTATGAAGTAGTAGAAATTATACTATATTCCATAATGAGCTACATAGAAAGCTTTCTCACTAGAATGAGCTTTTATTTTATAGGAATTGAATTCAGATGGATAAATTTGTCACGAGGTTGGACCATCCTCAACCAAGTCCTAGTTGTCAATCCTTGAGCCAAGCGAATGCCAATGTTTCTCATCTTATATAGAGTGTGATGTATTCACAAATGTAAGTAATGATGTCATTATGGATAATATGAAAACTCATCGAGGACAATTGTAAATAGATGATGTATATTTATAATATTAATATTATTGTTGGAAGTTTTATGGTTGCGTCAATTAGTTATAGTTATCATACTTTTTTCGTTTGATCGATTTGTCTATATAAATAAAAAAAGATGAATAACCCGAACCGACGCCCGAGTTGATCAAATCGATTAGCTTGGCACCAGGAACCTTCAAATCCTGGATCCGCCCCTGTTTGGACAGACTTCGAGGTGAAATTAAAAAAAATAAGTTAAATATAAAATTAGTAGTCGTACTCGTGCGATGCGCGGTCAATATAAAAAAATATTAATTAAATTAAAAGTTAATTAAAATATTAATTAACGTTTTTGTTCTATATTTTTTCTTTATTATATTATCCAATATTTAGTATTATTGCATTGTTAATAGAAATTTTTATTAGCATATTACTTTATTTAATTTTTGTGTGCTACTTTTTTTATAATATAATAGAAGATATATTTATTTTATTTTATATTTTATTCTATTAATCGCAATAATATTTTCTGAATATATTACTTTTTAATTTTTAAAAAAGAAAAACAAAAATTATTAAAAACAAAGAAATTTTGAATTGGCAGTTTTTTATTTTTTGTAATTTTAGTTTTTTATTTTAAAATAATTTAAAAACTCCAACTTGAAACTACTCTATAATTTGAATAGACATTTTTTTTAATTTTCGTTTTTTATTATAAAGTATTTTATTTTATAAATATTTTAATTTAAAAATAATAACCAATAACTAATTATTAACTACTTATGTCATGCGATTTTTTCTTAGGCTGTTACATGGTTTAAGGAAAGGACTTTTTCCTCTCCTTTAAATAATATATAGAATAAATATAGATATTTGTGATAGGGCTAAGCTTGCCCTTCTTCCCAAATCTCATCACGCCCTTCATAGGCGACACTCGGAGCANTACCTCCGCACTACACCGTGTCTCTAAGGATACAAATAGGGATCATCATATTGTCGATCTCAAATATGCTCCAATAATGAAGAACGAGCGACTGTGCAAGCTAGTACACGACTGGGCTCAGAGACATCCAACCTCACGAACTGATTGGCCAAAGCCTGAACATCCAAAGCAAGAGGTATCTCACCGATCGGAATATAAG